CTAAGGCATTTAACTGCTAACCAGAAGCCTGGCAGTACAAATCCACCAGCCACTCCTCAGAAGGAAGGTTGGGCAATCTACTTCCGTAGTGATACTACCTCAGAAATCCCAGGAGGGGTTGCTATGAGTCAGGTCCAACTCGACGGCATATAACAACAACAAATTATATTCCAAAGTTCATGATTTTAAAATAATATCCTCTGAGTTTTTGACTGGAAAGACACAGGTTCTTGATTTTGTTGGGGCAAATCAAGAACATTAACAAAGGTTTTGACATAGAAACAGACAACATTAGGATTAGGCCTACATCTATGCCAAGAAGGTAATCACTTGTCCAATAGATCTTGGAAGACAGTGGGGAGAAGAATAAAAAAAACAAGAGCAGCACCACTTTTGAGACGAAATTGTCACTATTAAAATCTGATGCTTGTACTAAAGGACTATCTGCTGAAGACCCCTTCTTAAAAAATGGAACCATAGATGAAGTAGCAGGCCCTTAGCTAACATCAAGTTCCTAGTAATGTTTCCTTCTCCCTTTGAAGACATAAAGTCATATGAAAAGATCATATTTGCACCACATCCCTATGTAAATGGAGGAGGTTTCTCAAAGCCAAAACTTTCAGTGGGCCCAACCCAACCAGTGGTGCAATGGAAGAAAGACCTTGTGATCTGCTTCCATAAAGATTATAGTGAAGAAAACCCTATGGAGCAATTTTAATCTGTAACATATGGGGCTGCCCTGAGTCAGACTGTACTCTACATCAAAGGGTTTGAGTTTTTGCTTTAGAGACTTGAATGTGTCAAGGTCCTTGTCAGCTTCCCCAAGAGCAGAAGCAATCAGGATCTCAGCATTTACAGTAATTCATTCACAGCCTTCTGCGAAGGAACAGTTTCAGGTGCTGAAGAGCAAGGCTATCTCCTTGAGGACTAAGGTGCGCCTGACACAAGCCATGATATTTCCAATCACCTCGTATGCATGTGAGAGCTGGACAATGAATAAGGAAGACCGAAGAAGAGTTGATACTTTTGAGTTGTGGTGCTGGTGAAGAATGCTGAAAGTATCATGGACTGCTAAAAGAACTAACAGATCTGTCCTGGAGGAAGTGCAGCCAGAATGCTCCTTGGAAGCAAGAATGGCAGACTTCATCTGACCTATTTTAGTCATGTTGGCAGAAGGGACCATTCCCTGGAGAAGGATGTCATGCTTGGTAGGGTGGAGGGTCGACGAAAGAGGGGGAGGCCTTCAGTGTGATGGATTGACACGGTGGCTGCGATGGTGGACTCAAGTATAGCAGGGATTGTGGGGCTGGCGCGGGATCGGGCAGTGTTTCGTTCTGCTGTGCATGGGGTCGTTATGAATCAGAAATGACTCAATGTCAGTGATTTTTGTTCGTTTGTTTGTTTGTTTTGTTTTGTTTTGTAAGAGGAGAAGAAGAACATGCTTTAGGACCGTTAAATCCAGGTTTCCAAAATGGAAACTACTAAGCTTCCTGCGCCTGGGGGATGGGGAGGTGCTATAGTCAAGGAAAAGGAAGAATGGAGAATAAATAAGCACAAAACAAACTATTTACACCTCAGTTTTGCCTTCCCTAGGGAAAAAAATGACTTTTAATGCCCTTGTAAAGGAACTCTGATGGTTAAGCATTTGGTTGCTAAATTTGAACCCACAAGCTGCTCTGGGGGAGAAAGATGTGGCAGTCTGCTTCTATAAAGACTTGTCACCTCCCACACTCTATGAAGAAGCTCTCTTCTGTCCCATAGGGTCATTATGAGTCAGATTCAACTCAGTGGGAATGATTAATGCCCTTGTAAATAATTTGAGAAAATGTACGTCAAAAACCTACTCAACACAATGCCTGGTTCATAATAGTATGTTAAAAATTATAGCTATCATCATCATCATCATCATTATATTTCAATATATATAGGATGTTATAAGTTGTTATTTTAGATTATCTTGTAATGGTCTGTCTCCATTTAAAACAAGCATTGTGTTTGCTCTAATTTTAAATCAGTGTGTAATAAATATATCTATTTTTTATTTTTTTGAAGGTAATCCTGGGCAAAAAGGCCAGAAAGGGGAAAAAGGAAGTGGGAGTACACAAAGTAAGTTTTCAATTCTTGTTTTCTGCATGCATTTTTCAGTACATGTGTGATAGGAGTGGACTGAACTAGAGGCTAATGTTGAAAACTTCAGCATTGATCAGTTGAGATTCTATGAAAGCCAGCCACAGTTTTCTCCAAGATAAAGTACACTAATTGGAGTAAAACAAATAGATTAAATTATACAACATGTTGAATCATATTACCCATTGGTGTTTTGTTTTTGTGATGAGCACAATTTTCTAAAAATTCCACATAGAAAATTGTACAATTTTCAAGCCAATTTCAATCAACTGAAGAAAAATCAAGCTTATGAATAGAAACAATTACTGCCTCTTTACCTACTAACTGAGCTAACTAAAACATTATACATAGGAATGTGTATAGCCTAGGTTCCTACTTCCAGATTAATTCCCTACTGTTGTTGTTGTTGTTGTTATGTACCGCCGAGTAGCTGGGTTTTATTTTGTATTGTGTTCCTAAAAACTTCAAAAAAGTGGTATTTTATATTCTAGAATGTCAAAACTTTGCTAATAGTTTCTTGATGAGACCTCATATTACAATGTTGTGATGTAGAGAACCTGTAAATTGGGATTTAAAAAAGAAATATTAGGTGAGATGTCTTCTGTGAGCCATGCCCTAAGTTAATTATAGTGTGCCTGGGCCATATCTGCACAGATACATTGAAAGAATTATGAAGAGTAATGACTTCTCCAAATCAAATGAGTCCTCTCCTGTATTTCCAATAGGAGCTATGCACACGCCTAGCCCAGAGGTCACAATCTTTACCTGTCAGGGGTCTGTTGTAGACCGACCTTAATATAACAAATTCCTTTTTAATATTTACCCTTTTTCAGTTGTGATCATTTTTTTTTTTTTTTGAAAAATACAGTACTAATTTTTCTGCTTTAGTGGATAATAATTAGTTTAACCTAATATTCTGTGGACAACAGATTAAGACAACTTTGGATAATTTTTGTGAATAACAGCTGTTAGATTCTAGGGAGGCTTTCAACAGCTATTACATAGTGTATTTGCCTCAAAGTTAAACAGCAAAGTATGTTATGCAAAGTGTGTGTCATCTCAGAGATTTTCAGCATAATTCAATGATTATAATGCTAATGACTATTATTAAATATTAGAATAATGAGAACCTTGGTGTATCTTCTCTTCTCCTCTGTGTGCATTCATTCTTCAATGTGGTCATTTTCATCTGCTATAGATATTTTAAGGAACTCTGGTAACGGAGTGCCTAAGGCACTTGACTGCTAACCAGAAGGCTGGTGGTTCAAACCCACCAGCCACTCCTCAGAGGAAGGTTGGGCAATCTACTTCCATAGTGATACCACCTCAGAAACCCAAAGAGGGGTCACTTTGAGTCAGGTCTGACTCTATAGCACATAACAACAATAACAACAAAGATGTTTTACTCCATTTACTCTCCTTTCTCTTTTATGCTCCCTTCTTTCTCAGTTGGACTTCTTGTAATTCTCTCTTATCTATCTTTTTCTTTACCTCTACCTTTATCTTTATCTTTTCTTCTTCTTTATCTCCTTTTCTTCAGGCTTTCCTTAGCTTCTTAACATTTACTCTGGTTAAGTTTGACAAATGAATAGGGGAAAACACTTGTTTATTTTTGTCAGTAAACTGACCACTAACACTGTCTTCTGTTACCTGAGGGTTATCAAACACTTTCTTTCAGTTATATTCAGAAATGCTTTATGTTACAGATATTTTTAATGACTGTTTTCGAGTGTGTGTCCATACTCTCTTTGAGATAGCAGTAAGGTATATATTTCTGTGTATGTTTGTATATCTTTTCCATATTCACACACACACACACACACACACACATAGCAAGGAAGAGAATATAACAATGTTATAATATTTGAAAAAGAGGAAGGACTATATACATAATCATCTCTACAATATGATTAGCTTTTTTCTTAATAATATGCCAGCAATCTGCCAATGTTAGTACAGATAGCTCAGTGGTTACACATCATTCCATTATACAACTATACCATTGTTACCATAATATAATTCAAGATCCTAGTCATAAGCATTTAGTTATTTTTGTTTAATTCAGTTTGGCTTTAACAAGCAATACAGTATTCAATATTTTCATGTATGACTTTTTCATAGAGAATTTCCTCAAAGTAAATTTAATGGTTCAAAGGTTAAATGCATATTAAAATTGGATAGATTCTCCTAAATGGCTCCAAAAAGATTGTACAATTTATTCCATATGAAAGTGACTGATTCCTCATACCTTCTGATATGTGAAAATTTATATAGAAAAACTAACTATAAATTTTAATATAGGATTAAAATTTATATATATACATTTTAATAGTTTACATAAAATACAAGTTTTTAACTATAAATTTTAATATGCTTTTTTTATATTTTAAGGCTTGATATAAATATAATAAAAATAATCATTGATTTCCTCTTTTATATATGTATCAGGACCGGTACAACTCGATGGTATTAGGGCAGGACGCTTTTAAGATCAGGTGGATTGGGTGGTATACCCTCTGCTACCATCTCAATAAAAGATCCTTCATCTCTGGACAAGTCATCAGCACAACTGACTTCCAAGATCCCTTTTTGGCTCCACCAAGTGACCTTGGTTCCCATGTCTTTTTCGGCTTCTGCATGGTTTCCTCTCCTTGTCCTTAGTGCTATTTGAGTCTCTGCTGTATGTTTATATCTCATCTGATTCCAATACTCCACCACTACCACCATTCCCCAGTGCTCCCACCCTGGACACCTCCCATATACTGACTGCCAGACTGCTCCAATCTGTCCCTAGAATATAAGCCAAGACCCCTGTTCCAGTAACTTACCTAATAATCCACTGGGTTCTAGGAGAAGTCTCAAGATTGCTGATTTTATGTGCTTTCTTTATACTCAAAAACTGTTATTCTTTCTCAGGGATAAGAATTACATGAAGAAGATTTAGTCATTTAATAATTCATTCATTCAGAATACTGTCATTGTGTACCTTCTGGAACTAAACTATAACAGCTAGTAAGATAAATATCACGTCTGCTTTTACAGAGCAATAATCCATAGGAAATACAGACAAGTAAACAAACAATTTACCCACAGAAGACATATATTGGGAGACAAAAAAGACTCTAGATGTTCAGAGGAAGTAAAGATTAGAGAATTCCTTAGAATACTAAGAATTTTTTTAATTTTCATTTGTTTATTTTACCTTCATGTTTTCTTATACTTCAAATTATAGAATATTTTTCTCCAAATTTTAAAATGAGATAAATGCAGCTTGGACAATTTATTGAACAAATTGGAGCCAAAACTTTTTTTGATAAATTACCCATCCACTGCTGTCAACTCAGACCTGACTCATAGCGACCCTTCCTTGGGTTTCTGGGGCAGTATCACTATGGGTGTAGAACATTTTTTTGTCAAATTACTTGGCCATTTAAAGTGAAACATCTTGATAATGAAAAAAATAAAGAAATGAATAAATAAAATTAAGAAGGAAAAGAAAAAAAAATGATATTTTCTTTGCATATTACATAGTCAGTATAGGTCCTGGGATGTGGGTAGGATGCATTCAGTAGAACAGTAGATATACATTATGTAGTGAAGAAAGAGATAATAATGAGAAAAGGAAAGAAAAGACAGAGCTTCCCAAAAAAAGAATAAGAAAATGTGAGATTCCATGTTATTTTTGAGTGCCTTTCTACTAATTAATAGATCACATTTTTCACAACCCTCCTTTCTTTACCTTTTAACACATAGCCCTAGGTTCACATTAAGTTCTTAGTAGTATGCTTATCTGTAGCTCACTGCTTCTATTCCTTCCCCTGTAAAATGGACATCTTAAAACCTACCTCACAGGGTTGTTGTGAGGATCAAATAAGATACTGTGTGGGAAGATGCTCTGTAAAATCATAAAGTGCTTTAAACACACAAGGTATGGTTCATAGTGTTCTCTCTGGACTAGAACTGCTATTTCACAGTGATAGAATGCAGATATTTTAAATATGCAATAAGAATAGTAGAACTATACTCCATGGGGTTTTCAATGGCTGATTTTTCAGAACAGCACTTCTGGGTGGACTCTAATAGCCAAACTTTTGGTTAGCAACCAGGCACATTAACCATTTGTGCCACCTAAGGACTAGCCAGTTAATGCAAACATCTAGAAATATTTTTAATCTTTTCACTTAATTTTAATTTTAAGTGATTTCTTATCCCAATCCTTACAATCAGTTTACACTGAAGACCAGGTTATAGCTCTCTTGCAACCAGGACTTAATCCATACTGGCCTCAGAATGACCCTGATCCTAGAGATTCAGGAAGACACTTTCAGGATATTCAGTTCACAATTAATCTGGTATCCCAGACTACAAATTTCAATGTGTGAAACAATAATTCAAACATTCCAAATTAAGGGAGAAAGGATTCCCTCCTCTCATTAGACAAAAAAGAATGCTAAATGCCCAGTTAAGATGCACAAGTTATAGCAATCTTAATAATGTTTTTACATTATTAAATGCAACATATATCTGTATTGAGCTTTAATGTTCATCCCAATGGTCTGTCTACTGTGTTCTCACCCTAACTTGAAAGGGTAAGTGTTTTGGTAAAGCTAAGAAATGCCTACCGTGTAATTAAACACTGTGTACCGCTATTTTAAATGTTCTAACTACTAACATGTGGTTCATTACTAATTTTTCTACACTTTTTTTCATGCTAGATAAGACTTTTTTGTACTAGGACATGAATTTAGAGCAAGTATTTGAAGCTCATATGTTGTTGTTGTTATGTGCCATTGAGATGGACCCGACTCATAGTGACCCCTCCTTGGGTTTCCAAGGCAGTATCACTACGGAAGTAGATTGTCCCATCTTCCTTCCAAGGAGTGGCTGGTGGGCAGTCAAGGGCCTTAGGCACTATGCTACCAGAGCTCCCAAAACTCATATAGTGATTTAAAAAATCAGTGTTTTCTTCATTTGTTTTCTACCAAAGACTCAGCTCAATCTTAAATGAGGTCTCGTCTTTCCCACTGCA